CTCCAGGTTTACAAAGATGTAAAACAATGGCCTCTCTTCTCACTGTATTTTTATTTTGGAAAAAGAAATGTTATTTTTCCTAAAAATCCTGGCATGTAATGGGTTTATTGTTTCATTAACAAATGAATATTTAAACAATTAATTCCACTGTCATTTCAAGAATGTTCTCTAAATGGAATAGTGTAGTATGCAGCCTTTTAGGATTGGCTTTTTTCACTCAGCATAATTCTCTGGAGATTCATCCAGGTTGTGTGTAGCAATAATCATTCATTCTTTTTTATTGCTGAGTACTATTCTGCAGTACAGATGTACCATGATTTGTTTACCCACTCACCCACTGAAGGTCATCTGGGTTGTTTCTAGTTTGGGGCCATTGCAAATAAAGCTGTACGTTTATGCGTGACTTTCACTTCTTTGGAATAAATATCCAGGAGTGCAGTAGCTGAATTGTATGGTAGTTGCATGCTAGTTTTTTAAGGAACTGCCAAACTTGTCCAGAGTGGATAAAGGGATCCCTAGGTGTAAAAGTTTGACATCCATTGCTTTATACAAAGGTACTATCAAAGCTGATGTGTAACATATACAATAAGAGTTTTCTTGTATTGATATCAAGTAAAAAAATAACTTTAAAATTCTCAGACTTTTGAAGACTAAAGGAAGTTACGTCTCATTCTTTGTTATCATAGAGCAAGGTCCAATATATCGACTGCTTTGCAGTGCCATAAATTGCAAGGTTTTCTCCTATATGTTTATATAGTGATATTATACATTTCAGGACTCTTAAACATTTCAGGCTCAAGTATGAGCCTGAGAACAAAAAAATTTTTAGTGCATAATATGTGCCAAGAATGGGGAATACAAAAGATAAAGAAGATGCTATCTTTACCTTCAAAGAGCTGAGAAGACAGATAAGCAAGTAGGCAAATGTAGTAAATGCTGAAATGAAGGTATGTGTAAAGAGCAGCAAGAGCATAAGGGAAGGGAAATGTACCCAAGAGTAGGAGGGAGGCTGATGGGTTCTACAGAGCAAGTAGAGTTTGAGTAGGAATTTGCCAGGAGGACACTTGAGAGAGTAGCCTGAGACTCTTGATGTTGATGAGTCAAAGGAACCCTAGGGGTTTCCCATCTAACCATACTTTGGTGGGAATCTTTAGCTCATGGCCTTTTTTCTGGGCTGGATCTCCAGGGTTAGGGACTGTGAGGACACCTTCAATCTGAATTAAAAATAACCTGAAGAGGGGCACCTGGGTGGCACAGTTGGTTAAGCGATCGACTTGATTTTGGCTCAGGTCATGATCTCACGGTGGTGAGATTGAGCCCTTAGTCGGGCTCCACACTCATCAGGGAGTCTCTCTAAGATTCTGTCTCTCGCTCTCCCCCTTCTCTCTTGTGCACTGTCTCTCAAATAAATAAATCTTAAAAAAAAAAAAACCCAAGAGAAATGATCTGAATAATATATAGTTTTGGAATTTGCAAACTAACTATGAAAAACCATAGCTCTTCCTGAGAGTCTCTGTGATGCACCAGGGTATTCTTATCTCATAAACCAGGAAGAGCAAGCCTGTTATTCGTAACTAGAGTTAGGTAGAAAACAATGTCTTCTTACTCCCTTTCCATTGTACTGGCTGTTTTTCAAGATATTATTTAAAACGTGTTGAAAGGGGCACCTGGGTGGCTCAGAGGGTTAAGCATCTGCCCTCAGTTCAGGTAATATCTCTGGGTCCTGGGATCCAGCCCTGTGGTGGGCTCCCTGTTAGCGGGGAGTCTGCTTCTCCCGCTCCCTCTTCCTCTCCCCCTGATTGTGCATGCTTGCTTGCTTGCTTGCTAGCTTGCTCTCCCTTTCTCTCTCAAGTGAATAAATAAAAACTTTAAAAAAATAAAAAATAATAAAATGTGTTGTAATATTCTCAGACAATTTAAGAACTTCCATCTCTACTATTCATGGAATATTATCTAAACAGACAATCTAGTTTGTAAAGATACACATTATACTACATTTTATCTTTATATTATGAAAAATATTTAAGACTTGCTTATTTAACTTGTATTTTAATATTTCAGATTGTGCTCATAGAATATCTGAAATCAAAATTGTATATTAACTTGGGCATATCCTCCTATAAACATAGATGTACTTCTGGCCGCCTAAATGTAGTAAGAGTGCACAAGTAAATTGTCACCTCTGTGGTCATTCAGCATTTACTGAGCTGCTCTTCTGTGGGAGGGTCCAGCTCTTAGGGAGCTCACAGTTTAGTATGAGAAGTAGTATTAGATGTTGAATTAGACTTGCACACTAGGAAGGAATGAAATCATCTGCCTGGGTTGGGAGTAGAGGGATGGGTTTAGGGGTTAGAAAGACAGGATCAGGCTGCCTTTGGTCCTTACAAAATTCATACAACTAAGGCTTTCATGAAATACCTCTCCTCTTTCTTATAATTACTTAATTTACTTTTGAGTTATTTTGAAGCAAGAAAGAACTAGATTTATCTTCCTTATCTCTTACCAAGTAATTATAAGTTGTTTGGCTTTGTACAAATCGTAACATCTGTCTGAACTTTTGTTTCTTTATCTTTAATAATGGTAATAATAGCTAATACTTATATAGCACCTCTTATGTGCCAGGCACTATTTTTTACACTCATTTATTATTTTATACATCATTTATTCTTTATATCAAACCTTTGAAATAGGCACTATGATTACCTCCATTTTATATATGAGAAGGAAACAGACATGTAGTAAGGTCAAGCTAGTAAGTGACAGAGCGAAGACTTGAACCCTCAGAGACTGGCTCCAGAGTATGTGCTCTTAAGTAAGTACTTATGCCATACAGCCTTGCAGTTCTTTAATCGTACTTACATGCTACGTGCACGTGCTAGTGATCTACACATGATAATTTGTCACTTAATGTTTGTTTCATGGTAACAGAGGTATTTCGGGGATGGAAGATAATGCAGTTGTTATTTGGTATTTTAAATGGGAACATGTTATTTTTCCTCATGAAAAGATTTTGTGATAAAATGAAAATAAAGAACTAAAAGTTATTTAGAGATTTAAAAAATAACTAAAACATAATAGTCTTAAGAGAAATGCTTTCTTAGTCATTATGTGGGAGGCTAGAATTGCAGTATATTTTCTTGACGAAAAGAAAAATTAGAATAAACACTATCACAAAGAAAGAAGAGCAAAGGATATGTGAATTTTCTTGCTAATTGGGTGGGGAATAAGAGTCTGTAGGCATTCTGTATTAAAATACCTAGTCTGTCTGTGTGGGATAAATGCCGTTTCTCTTCTTAATCTCACATACTTTGCACTGATGTTTGAAAAGTTATGATGCCCAGAGGGTGAAGAACAAGCCTCGTGAGTTACAAAATACAAGAAGCATTTGCTCTCTTAATGTTGGTCCTGATAGGAGTTTAGATCACAGGCTGCTACTGTTGTTATTTTATTAAGTAGTTTTTAAAAACAGTTTATCGAAGGTCAGCCATCCCATCTGAATCCTGTCCCACCTGCTCGTAATTCATGGCACTTCTTGTTGACTTTGTTAAAATGTTAATATTGTTTTTCTAATAAAAACTCCAAATAAATAATAAATACGTATGTGTGATGGGAGGAGAATTTTCTCATTGAAACAGATGTTGGGAGCATTGACATGGTACCCTGCCCTCTCCGTTCTTGTGACAGGGAGACCCAGGTTCGATGATTCCGGTATCCTGAGCACATTGTGCCTCGGGGATTTTGACCTGCTGCGTACTCCCTGAGTGTGCCAGGTGCTCTGAAGCCCCTGAAATTCCGCACAGCGGCCCTTGTCTGCTTCCGTCTGACCGACACACCCTATCACAACTCAGCAGTGCATGTTTTTCCCCTTTTGAAAGTATTTCCAGCTATAAAGCCAGACTTGAGTTAGAGGCCAGTTCTCCTCATCCCTCTCTGTATTCACATAATAGTCTCCTGCATGTGGCTTTCTCGGAGTACATTGAATTTTAATGATGGGTTTTCTTAACTCTCCTTTTCCTACCTCTCCTGTCTCCTGGTTCAATGTGTAGCACATACTAGAGACTATAAATATTTACAGAAGATATAGACAGCTGCTGCCTCTGCAGTTGATTTTTAACCCCTGGTGCTTCTGGGGAACCGGAGGGAAGCATTCCTAGCTGGCCTTGCACTAAACTGGAGAGGCTGTTCTGAGAGTCTTAGGGTTGGAGAGGAGACAGACATACACGCACACACAAATTGCTGTTTTGAGCAAGCAAGAACAGATCAAAGTGTGGAATAATATGTGGTGGAATTGTTATTTATATCACATCTTATCGATTTAATTGAGTTACAGTGGGCTTTTTCCTTTAATGCCTTAAAACAGTATTGCACTTTATGGAACTTGCACAGATGTTATTTGTATATGCTGTGTAGTTTATCTTTCTATAATCTGTGCTATATAGAGAATATTTAAATCATACATATTCTGAAATCCATTTTTTCCAAATATAGTACAGGGCAAAGGTCATTTTTTAAATAGACACTGAATTATCCTTGAGGCAACATTTCAAAGACACAGTCTTTGGTATAGCAATGTAAATCCATAAAATCAGAAGCAAAGAACCATGACTGGGATGACAGATGCAAATGTATTGCATAATATACCTCAATTTGCATTATTAGCTTGCTGTGTAGATTAATTGGCTTTAAAAACTACCATTGAGCAGTGAAGTATTGGAGGATTTCAGTAAGTAAAACAGATTGATTCTTTCTTATGTCACACTATATGCAGCATCTTTTGCTTTTAATCACAAGTTCTTTTTTCACCAAGAACTTGGCAATGTAGCCAAGTAGCTTAGCCAGCTAGCAAATTAGTTAGGTTTTTATGACTAATTTATCACCTGGTCTAAATTTTATTTTACCTTTTACCTAAAAAAAGAAGTTAACTAGTGATACTATATTGATAACTTTTAGCCCCCCTTGATTGATACTAATTACATTTTTGATTTGTTTTGTTTATCTAGAACAAACCTTGATTCTAGTCAAATACATCACTGCCCATTAAAGGAAACCATACCTGAAGTGGAAGTCTAACGTATGAAGATACAGAAACTGCTTTGGTTGATTCAGAATGGGAACCACAAGTGATGAGATGGTGTCTGTGGAGCAGACCTCCTCCTCCTCCTTCAATCCTCTGTGTTTTGAATGTGGCCAGCAGCACTGGACAAGAGAGAACCACTTATACAATTACCAGAATGAAGTAGATGACGACCTGGTCTGCCATATTTGCCTTCAGCCTCTGTTGCAGCCACTAGACACCCCCTGTGGACACACGTTCTGCTGCAAGTGCCTCAGAAACTTCTTACAGGAGAAGGATTTTTGTCCATTGGACCGGAAAAGACTCCACTTTAAGTTGTGTAAGAAGTCTAGTATTCTAGTTCATAAGCTTCTGGACAAATTATTAGTGTTATGTCCATTTTCTTCAGTGTGCCAAGATGTCATGCAACGCTGTGATCTGGAGGCACATCTTAAAAACAGGTAAGCAAAAAATATGAAGGAAAGAGAAGTAAAGTCTAGGTTTTATAAAAAGGTTGGTCAGACAAAAACTTCATAAAGAGTATCAAGGCATCAGTAAGTAAATGGACAAATCAAATACAAGAGAGACAATAAGTTGTGTGGAACAGTATTTTACATGGTGATTTCTCAAAAACGTAGTTACAAAAACTTCAGTGAAGAAGTACCTATTAATATTTTTGCTGGTATAATATGAAGCTGTTACATTCATATGGGCAGCAGGGTATAGTGATAGACTTGTTTCCAAGGCAGTTTGGGAGTTTGTTTCAAAAATTGTGAATGTGAATATCCTTTTATGTAGCTTGTTATCCTAAGGAAATAATCCAAAAGAAGGAAAAATTATGTATAAAGGTGTGTTCACTGCAGCATTGTGCATAGTTCAATAAATCAGAGTCGATCTAATTAACAGTAGGGAAGGGTTAAAACTACCGTAGTACATCAACTCCATGGGATATTATGCAGACAATACAAATGGTAATTTTGTTGCGATGTGGAAATGAGGGTACTGATTTTATTTACTAGAATCTTATAAAGAATCTGTGTTCAAGGACTAGACTGAGTAAGAACTAGGGGTTAGAAACCTTAAAGCATTCAATGGAGAGTTTTGTTCTAACAAAGCTTTTTAAAAGGTCAAGTAATTTATTGAGCTGATCAGTGAGTTTCATAATTTGACTTTGGTGAAAAACTTGAGTTTTAGAATTATTTATACCCTTAGGAAGGGTTAAAATACATCTCATGTTTTATGTATGAAGAATCATATAATATGACAGAAATAAATGTGTTGATTTCTAGATTTCAGAGTTCAGCCAGTTGTGCAGTAGAAAGCTGGGATTGCTGTGAAAAAATTCACAGTACAATATATGGGGTATCATAGAATTGACGGAGATTATCTAATCTTATCCCCTCACTTTACAAATCAGGAAACTGAATCACAAAGATTTAGAGCTAGTTAATGGTATAGTTAGGCCTAAACTTCTAATATTCTTACTTACCATTCTAATATACTGCGCTGACTTGACCACAGGTCAAATCGTGTTCCCTACTGCTGTGTGGTAGTAAGTTTCCTATAGACATGAGTATATGTGGTCCTTCTGTTCCTAAATATCAGTGTTATAAAATGAGGGTACTCATTAGAAATTGTTAAGATATATGAGAAAGAACAAGATGTTATTACATTGTCAGAAACAGTAAGATTAATAGAAAAGGTTTAAATCTAAGCTGTATTGTCTAGTAAGAGGTAAGAAAACGTGTAGGGTAGGTACAGAGACTTGTGAAAGTGCATGTGGCCTTAGGTTTCCGTGTGTCCTCAGTCACCAGCAGGTGTAGGATCTGAGCACGACAGCAGAGACCTGGTGCAAATCGATGCCGGACTTGTGAATGTGGTCTTCTCGGTGGGGCCTACTTACTGAGGTTGAGGAATATCTTAGGCTTGCCTTATTTCTCTCAGTTGGACTTTTCTTTTTAGGGGATAGTTTTCTTCTGTGACTCTTTTACGAACATTAGTTATAGGATGTCAGAAGAACTGAACAAAGTCTCGGTTCAGTTACCAATTATTTTGTGAGCAGTGAGATAAATGTTGCACAAATATTTGGGAACATTCACTTAACTAAAATGCCTACAAGAATTTAATATGTAATTGAAGTATCATTAGTATTTTGGATCAAGCAGTTTATGTTGATGATATAAAAACTTTGGGACAGCAAACTCCTTTCATTTGTAGGTTGATAAAGGCTAAGCAGTCATGCCCAGTTGCAAGTTCCATTTTCCAAGTAAGCTTGTTAATATTTGAGCTACTCGTTCAGTCATTTCCAAACCATCTTAGGCCTGTATAGTGAATGATAGAAAAAGTGAACAATTGAAAAAGGTGAATGATTTGAAAAGGTAAATGACTTGCTTGATATAAACAGCTAAGAGTGATTATTGACTATGAAAAATAAAAAGGGAAATTATAAAGTATAATTTTTATATCCCATTGGAAAAGACATGGGTGGAACAGCCTGACCTTTCTCTAGTTTCTCAGTTAAAAATGTTGATGTTAAGTAGTCTCCGCAAGCTGAGAGCAAGTTAGAATCTAATGCTGGGTTGTATATTGTCTTTACGAGTCTTTGCATCCCTTTGCCCAAAACCGACACTCAGCTAACATTTCTTCAATTAAATTGTTAATCTACGTTCTGGTTATCAGTTGCTGAGAAACTAACCACCCCAAATATAGTGACATAAAACAAGCATTTGATTCTGCTCATGGATTCTGTGAGTCAAGAATTCAGCCAGGGCACAGCAGGGATGACTTGTCCCTGTTATGTGTTATCTGGGCCACAGCAGGGAAGAACTGAAAGCCAGGGACTACAACATTTGGAACTGCAGAATCTACTTCTGAGATGGCTTCTTCATTCACATGTCTGGCTCCCTGATGGAGATAACCAGAGACACCGGCTCAGCTAGGAGAGCCTACAGGCGGCCTTTCCAGCATGGCAGTCTCAGGGTATTTAGAGTTTTTACGTGGCATTCAGTGTTCCAGTGAATAAGGCAGAAGCTGCATGGCTTTGTATGAACTAGCTTTGAAGTCACATAGCATCCCTTATGTCACTCTGTTTGAAGCAGTCCACTCAGATTCAATGGGAGAGGGGGCGTGGGCTTCACTTTGTGATGGGAGGAGGTCAAACATTTGCAGCCGTGTTTTAAAACCAACACAGGCAACTGAGTGGTACCGTGAGTCACAGAATATGATTATTCTGACTGTGCCATCTCTGCACACAGTCTCACTCATCTGATAGAAATTGATAAGTTTCATTAAAATTCATAGAATTTCAGGGGCACCTGGGTGCCTCAGTTGGTTAAGCATCTGCCTTTGGCTTGGGTTTGTGTTTGGAACATTCTTACCAGCATACTTTTCTTATGTATAATGTAAAAAGCAGATATATATTTGCAAATCATATACCTTATGAGAGTATTCAGAATATAAAAAGAATTTTTACAACCCAACAAAAAGGGCAAGTAACCCACAGTTTTAAATGGGCAAAGAATTTGAATAGATATTTCTCCAAAGAAGATTATTTAAATGGCCAATAAGCATGCAAATGAATGCTCAGCATCAGTAGTCCATTTTTTTTTAAAGATTTATTTATTTATTTGACAGAGAGAGACACAGCGAGAGGGGGAACACAAGCAGAGAGCGTGGGAGAGGGAGAAACAGGCTTCTCGCCAATCAGGGAGCCCGATGCGGGGCTCGATCCCCGGACCCTGAGATCATGACCTGAGACGAAGGCAGACGCTTAACGACTGAGCCACCCAGGCGCCCCTTCAGTAGTCCATTTTTATAATGGGTTGTTTGTTTTTTGTCAGTTGTAAGCGTCCTGTATATATTCTGTATACTAGAGCCTTATTAAATATATGATTTGCAAATATTTTCTTTTGTTCTCTTGATTGTCCTTTTACTTTCCTATGCCCTTTGAAGGACAGACGGGTTTAATCTTAGGAAGTCCAGTTTCTCTGTTTTCTTTGTTTGCTTATGCTTTTGGTGTCATGGCCAAGAAATCACTGCCTATCCAAGGTCACAAAGATTTACACCTGTTTTCTTCTAGGACTTTTATAGCCTTTGATCCATTTTTAATTAATTGTGATTAGAGATCATGCTGTGTGTAATTCAGTCCTTTAAATTTAATTGAGGCTTTTTTTTATGACCTAGCACATGGTCTACCCTGGAAAATGCTCCATGTATACTGAAGAAGAATGTGTTTTCTGCTATTGGTGGGTGGAGTATTCTACAGATGTCCATTGGGTCTGGTTGATTTGTAGTGTTATTAAAGTCTCTCTTTTCCTGTTCTTGTCGGTTTGTTCAATTCATTATTGTAAGTGTGGTATTGAAGTCCTAAACTATTGTTGAATTTTCTGTTTCTCCTTTAATTCTGTCATTTTTTCCTTCATGGACTTTGAGGGTCTGTTGTTAGTTAGGTTTATAATTGTTAACAGCTTCTTGATAAATCGAACCTTTCATCACTGTAAAATTGGAGTATTTAATTTATTTGTATTTGGTGTAATTACTGATCAGGCAGGATTTATGTCTGCCATTTTGCTGTTCTTTCATTTTTTTTGTTTGTTTCTCTGTTTTTCTGTTACTTCTTTTGTGTTAATGTGTATTTTCTAGTATTCCCTTTTAATTTCTTTGTCATTTCTGTTCATATGTATATATTTTAATTGTTTTCTTAGTGGTTGCCCTGGGGATTATAATTAACAATTTATAACAGTCTAGTTCAGATTAATACAAACTTGATTTCACTAGAGTACAAAACTCAGCTCATAGATAACTCTGTTCCTTCCCCATTTTTTGTGCTGTTACTGTCATACAAATTACATCTTTATGCATTATATGCCCATCAAAACAATTATAATTATTTCTTTGTTCAGTTGTCTTTTAAATCAGATAGGACAAAAAAGTAGTTATGAACTAAAAACTACTTTTATGCTTTTATGTTTATGTAGTTACCCTTACCAGTGCTCTTCATTTCTTTGTGTGGGTATGAGATACTAAGTTCCTTCCATAGCAGCCTGAAAGACTTCCTTTTGTGTTTTTTTGTAGGGCAGGTCTGATAGCAACAAAGTCTTCATCTGGGACTGTCTTCATTTCTCCTGTTTTTGAAGGATGGTTTTTCTAGACATAGGCTTCTTGGTGAACAGTGTTTGTTTTAGCACTTTGTGTTATCTATAGCCTCCTGGCATCCATGGTTTCTGAAGAGAAATCAGTTGTCAGTCTTATTGAGGCTCAGATGTATGTGTTATGAGGTACTTTTCTGTTGCTGCTTTCAAGATTCATCAAATTCAGCAAGATTTTGGTCATTATGTCTTCAAATATTGTTCAGCCCTCTTCTCTCTGACTTTTTGTGGGACTCCAATTCTACATACTACTAGTAATACTCTTGGTAGTATCTCAGAGGTCCTTGAGGTTCTATCCTTTTTTTTTTTTTTCC